AAGAAGCACGCGAGCTGGTCGATGGTCTCCGCGAAGGCCGGCTCCATGGACGCGATCGCGCGCGCGTTCGGCCCGCCGGGCTTCCCGCATTGGTCGAGCGCCTCGCGGAACGCCGTGAGCCGCGGGTACGCCGCCGTGCCCACCAGGATGTCCAGGTTGTCCGCCGGGGGCACGTAGCGGTCGAAGATGAGCGACAGCGACCCGGGCCGCGAGCCCTTGCCGACGGCCGCCGTCGCGAGATCCTCGTCGGCGTCGCCCTCCTGGACCTCGCCCGCGTGCATCCACCGCGACTGGCAGGCGATCTGCACGGGCGCGCCGTTCGTGATCTCCTCGACGCGGTTGTTGATGCCGCCCTTGGACTTGAGAGCGCCGTAGGGCGTGTTGAAGGTTAGCGCGCACGCCTGCGACACGCCCAAGTCGTCGCCGCCAAAGTAGAACGTCTCCTTCCTCGGCGCGTCGCCGTGGACCGACGTCGGCGCCGACGCCGGCGGCGTCTGGTCCTTGTCCCCCACGAGGGCCGTGCCCGCCGCCGCGCGCGCCGCGCGGAGCAGCCGCGCGGACTTGGACCACAGGTTCGACGACTTCAAACAGAGATACTTGCCCGAGTTCGCGTGGCGGAGGCGGAAGGACCGCGACGGGCCGTACGTAATAGCCCCGCCGATGGCCGGCCGCGTGTAGCCCTCGACGACCCACAGACTCGCCGAGTCGAGCTTGCCGTTGAAGTCCTCGACGATCTCCGAGAGCACCGCGGTCTCGCGGTCGACCAAACGGAGCGCCGCGTTCCGCTCCGGGTCGATGAGGCGCACCATGTCCCCCGCGAAGAAGGACTTGTCCGCCTCGTCGTGGTAGGGGCTGTACAAAATCACGCGCCAGCCCGTGGGCTCCAGCGAGCAGTTGACCTCGCGGCGCCGGTCGCCGTCCTTGCGCCGGTCGCTCTCGAAGAACGTCTGGCAGCAGTGGATCTGCTCCGACGTCCGCTCGGAGACTCTCAAAATCAGGGACGCGCCGGAGTTGACGAAGTCGCCCTCGCGGTCGATCTTGTAGCAGGGGAGCAGCGTGAACCAGGAGAGCGAGCTGCCGGACCTGGGCAGCAAAAGGGTGATTCAA